CAGAAAAAAAGAAAGAAAGAAAGAAAGAAAGAAAGAAAGAAAGAAAGAAAGAAAGAAAGAAAGAAAGAAAGAAAGAAAGAAAGAAAGAAAGAAAGAAAATACTCCGCTCTGCATTTATAGGAATATTCTGAAATCATTCTAGAGAAGATGCTGTGCTGTTGAAATGGCCACTCACCTTGGTTTCTTCTCATTGTTATCTGTCAGGATGAAAACAATGTATAAAGAGGTTAATAAAAATCATGTCCAAATGCAACACAATCGTAATCATTAGTCAATCAAAAGCATGTCTATGAAGTACTTTTACTCAGGAATACTATAAAATAATTACCTCTCTCCATCTCTCCTATTCTCTATCTCTCTCCCTCTCCCTCCATCTATCCCTCCCTCCTGCTGCCTTGAGTACATATTTGGATTTTTCTCCAGATCATAAAATATTGATATTTTCTGAATATCAAAAGGAATTTTTTTTCTTTTTGAGACAGGGTCTCTCACTCTGTAATGCCAGCTGGCCTGGGAACTGTGTAGTCCAGAGTGGCCTCAAACTCAGACCCATGGCAATTCTCCTGCTTCAGACTCCCAAGGGCTAGAATTACAGATGTGAGCCTCCATGCCTGATGGAAGTTACCGTTTCTAAATTAGCTGAAATGAATATGACTATTTAAAATTATCTATTGAAATGGGGATTAATTTGTTGGTTGTTTCCTTAGAAACATCAAAATCTTTCTACTTAATATATCACAAATTGGCCGTAAGATGTCTTCAACACTTCATCACTATCAGAATCCATAAGATGGAGCTACATGTAATTTTTGTCAGCACATGTGGAGCAAATGTCAGTAGGAAATGGAAGTGGGTATCAGGGCCATAAGGAAGCCACAGAGAAAAGAACCCTAGGGAATATCTGTTACCATGGCCATCATTTCCTGGTTCCACTGACATTTTTAATACAATTGCAGTAAGACTAAGAAGACATTACAGTGTAGATACAGGGTTTGAGAATTGAAAAGCTGGATTAGAATCATGGTTCCATGAATCATAACTCGTGATTTTTACCAACTTTTAAAAAGTTAGCAAAGTCTTACTTTCTCTATCTGTAAAATACAGAAGCGTATGATTTAATCAGTGAACGGCAGTTAGAGTCTGTGCTGACATGCCAGGGACTAATGCTGCGGGGCCCCTCCCACACAGTCTCACTCTTACCAGGAGCAGAAACTCTTATTACTGTTGCCATGGTGATCGGCAATGATGCAGGGATAAAGTTACCATAATGGCCAGGGCTGAACAACCCTACTCTACCTAGGAAGGAGGTTCTCATGGGAGATGCTTCCACGTACTCACATGTTGGCATCCCAACATAGAGCTTTCAGATGGGACATGACATGGATTCTAGAGAAACCCCACTGACTATATGTCAGGTGGATGCCCATAATAGCTCCACATGTTATAGCTGATTTTTCTCTGCATCTTGAAACATCGATGGGTTAGTCTCATTTTTGTCTTTACTTTTCTTTGCACAAGACTCAAGGGAATTCAAAGGCCACTTACGTGATCCATCTGATTCAAAAGCATGATTCTCCTCTCCAAATTTCTTTACACTGCGAAGAATTACCGAGTCAGACATGGTATTTGTGATCTGTCCTCAACAACCCTATAAAATAAAACAGTTACTGCAATTATTTAACAAAGTAGCCAAATAAACAAGCTTCTGTAAACAATCTCAAACAAAAGCAGATCTTTCAATTCAATAACATTTCAGTGAAAGAGAATAAATACTAGGAAAGATAAACTAAAAACTGGGTTAAAGTCATGATTTCACTGCTACTCAAATGACCTTTGCCAACTTTTCAAAAGTTAACCCAGTTGAAAATGGTTTTCTTGCTTTTCAGCTTTTGGCTCAGAGGAGACTACAACTTTCTTCAGTCATCCGGAATCCGGGTTCATCAAACACCAGCCGCCTACACCATGCCACCCAAGTTCAAAGTTGTGAACTTGAGGTTCACTGGGGGGGAGGTGGGCACCACATCTGCCTTGGCCCCCAAGATCAGTTCCCTGGGTCTGTCTCTAAAAAAAAAAAAAAAAAATGGTAATGACATTGCCAAAGCATCCAGTGAATGGAAAGGTCTGAGGATTATGGTGAAGTTGATCATCCAGAACAGACAGGCCCGGATGAGGTGGTGCCCTCTGCCTGGTCCTCAAACAGCCATCAAGAGACAGAAAGAAGCAGAAGAACATTAAACACAGTGGAAATACCACTTTTGATCAGATTGTCAACATTGCCCAGCAGATGCAGCACTTGTGTTTAGAGAACTGTCTGGAAATATTAAGGAGACCCTGGGTACTGCACAGTCTATGGGCTGCAGTGTGGATGACCTCCATCGACATCATCAATGACATCAGCAGTGATGCAGTGGAATGCTCAGCTCGTTAAAAAGCAACCAGAGAAAATATTTCAATAAATGACTATCTGATGAAAGAAAGGAAGAAAGAGACAGAGACAGAGAGAGAGAGAAAGAAAGAAAGAAAGAAAGAAAGAAAGAAAGAAAGGAAGGA